ACTTGGGAGGTGGAGGCAGGAGACTCGCTTGAGCCCAGGAGTTGGAGGTTGCTGTGAGCTGTAGTGCCACGGCACTCTACCCAGGGGAATAGCTTGAAGCTCTGTCTCAAAAAAAAAAAAAGATAATAAATTGCTGTATATCCCTTTCATGATTTCTCATCCTTTGTGAAAAAGAAAATTAGTTTTGTTCAGTTAAACCCTGAAAAACTAAAGCCTCCATAAATACTACTTGTTATTGAAAACTTGCTTATTTAGGTACTATGCTAGATACTGGGGGGCGGGAAATACTTCCTACCCTCAAGGAGCTTAAATTCTGTTTGGGAAAACAAACTATAACCTTGAAGTGTGATAAGTACTTTGCTATAGCCTCCCACCCCAATAAGAGTAGATTCCTAAATGTAAAATTTTTACATTTTCTAAAAGTAAATGTGTATATTAATTAACTAATTTAGAAGGATAGAAAGAGATAGTCTTTATTACCCAGGATAAAGTATATTGTCCTAATTATAGCTCACTGCAGCCTTGAATTCTCAGGATCAAGGAATCCTTCTGTCTCAATGTCCTGAGTAGCAGGGACTACAGGCATGTACCACCACTCCCCACATTTTTTATAGAGAACCACGTCTCCCTGTGAGCTAGTCTCTAACTCCTTATTGTAAGCAATCCCCTTCAGCCTCTCAAAAGACATGAGCCACTGCCCCTGGCAGTTTTATAAATTTAGAATTGTAATCAGGGCTGAGCTGGTGGCTCATGCCTGTAATTCTAGCTCTCTGGGAGGCTGAGATGGGTGGATCACCTAAGCTCAGAAGTTCGAGACCAGCCTGAGCAAGAGTGAGACCTTGTCTCTACTAAAAATAGAAAAATTGGCCAGGTATTGTGACAGGGGCCTATAGGTTTTTTGTGAGCTACATGGTGGCACTCTACCAAAGACAACTAAGAGAATCTCTCAAAAATAAAAAGAAAGTTAAAAATGTGATCAGCAGATGGTCTTTTAATACAATACTGGAATTACTACATGATTTTATATAAAACAGAGTAAAGTGCAGAGATGAATAAATTTAGCCTATAGCTCAAGAGAGTAGTCTATAATAGGAAGCTGTGGTTATACCATTCAGGAGAAGCTTCTAAAATTTTGATCAAGGAGCTTGCTTAGCTTGTTTTTTGTTT